AATGCATGGAAAGTTCGAATGACAATGAAATCAAAAGACAATTCTTAGACGCTGATAAAATCATCAATGAATTGCCAATTATCTCACCAAAACATCCAAATTATATGTATACCAGTAAAAAGATTAGTACACAGTTAATAAGTAAATTAGTCGCAGAAAAAAGTCAAGATCATATGTTAATTATTCAATAGGATTGTATGATCAGGTGCATAAAAAAAATCTTAAAGAAATAAAAAAAGAGCGAAAACACAAGCAAAAATTTATTTTATAAATTGAAAGGATGTCAATTATCAAGAAAATTTTTTAATTAAATAGTGTTCTGATGGATCAAACCAATATTTTTACCATGGCTAACCTATTCACATAATATTAGATACATTATGGGTCTTGATTTAGGCTATAAAAACGTATTAAAACTCACTGTGGTTTACCATGCTATTTTCATTTCCATTATAGTATAATTAGTGCGATGGGTGGCGCTATGTACCACCTATCCGCTACACAACTTATTTAGTATTTTTTTAAATAATCAGAGTAACTATAAAAAATTCTATAACAAAACTTATCAGCAGTGCGATGCTGTTATATGATAAAAATAAGCATAAAAGAAAAGTTGAATTTGTTGATGTTAGGTGTGTTAAAGGTAAATTGATGAAGGATAATAATGTTTATGGTGAAGAGAAGAAAAGTGAGATTGTTACTATAATGATGAACTTTGATGAACTTTGATGAACTGAATTATAAGATAAAAAAAACTTGAAAGTACATCCAACATGTTCTTTGATATGATGAAATAACACCCAGAAGAAGTTGCAGTGGATATCACTATGAAAAAGAAATCAAAATTAAAAGATATGAAAATAAATTAGTAGTTAGTAATTGGGTAATGCATTTGTGTTGATAGGGTAGTATTGGGTTACTTTGTGTTAGGTAATTTGTTTTGCGGGGGCTGAGACTTTGGGAACAAGTCCTGGGGATCCAGCTCATGTTACAGTAGATTTGAGTAGCATATGTTTTAGTAGTATAGAATCAGAATTGGGGTTGTGTAACTTACATGTTGCGTGATTAATAATCATATATAAATAGAACAATGGTCTTCAGAGTCTTTTGTAGTAGTTTAATTAATAGTTTAGAGTTAGACTTTAGTAGTCTTGGAGCCTGAATAGAGAAATGTTTAAACCATAAACTGTGTGTTAGTACATGATATGCCTTTGGGTGGAAGTACCTGAACAATATTAGTCATCATAAAGTGCTAAGTGAGTGAATTTTACTTGTGAATTTTAATAAAGAAAGTATATAAATACATGGTAGACTCATTAACTATTCACAATTAGTACCCCTGGAACTAGTAACTTACTAAATTTATGGTAAACAGTATTAAAAAAAGATGATATTTAATTTTTATTATTAATCACATAATTTAGATATGTAAAAGATACAATTACAATTTGCATAGCATTAAGTATTGAAGTAAGGTATCTAAAATTTTGCAATTGCAAAATTTGCAATGTATTCACTGAATTTATTGAATTTACAGAATTTGTATTTAAAAATGTACTGTATAAGCACATAATAACGCATATGGGTGTTATTTTGAAATTTTAATTTTTTTAAAAATAGCATATTTGACTCAAAATTCTATATGTGTCTCGAAATAATGTGCCCCTCCATATGTACCAGATTATTATTCAAGAAAGTAGCTGAAATTTTTTCAAAATTAGTATAATAATTCAAATTATCACACATGTGCATCCCAGAATAATGTGCAGAGGCTCGAAATAATGCATCTCTGTGCATTATTATATGCTTATATAGTATATTATTATGTTTCTAGCTATTGCTAGAAATTGGATTTGCTAAACTTTAAGATTGTATAAAAATAAATGAAGCTGTTTTGGATCAATCATAGCCTTGTATTTGATATCAAAATTTAAATTCATGATTTCTAAATTATATATAGTATGTAATATCAGTATTTTAGATGAAACTATTTTCTAAATCTGTAATATTTTGATTAGAGAAATTTTAGTTTTGCTTTATAAGTATAAAACTTTCTAAAACTAGTTTCACCCAATATATAGATACTGATAATAGCAAAATAAATAAACTATATAAGTTTTGTACCAGAGTTTTTTACAGTAATTTATTGTGTCATAGTAATTTTTATACAAATCTAATTTGACTCTATTTATATACTATTTTACCAAAATAGTAATTTTTTTGATAAGGTTTTTAAAGCAACTTATAATAAAAATTACAATAATTTTATACAACTAGCTTATTATATAATATGATTACCAGAATAACAAGTAGTTTTTGTACCAGAATTTTTTATAGCAACTTATTATTGAAATTATTTATTATTTTTTTTTTTTAATATTAAAGGTGAGACCATGCTCTTATCTTTATTAAACTTAATGAAAACTTTTTACATAATTGG